ATCATAAGGTATCTATGAGGAATACATCATAAGGTATCTATGAGGAATAAATGTGATAAAACATATAAAGTACTTAGTAGAATGCCTAGTACATATGGCAACCACTTAGTAAATGGCAATTTAAAATGCAATAGTCAATATAGTTAAATATTTAGTTATATAAATATAATAGTTAAATAAAAGCATTTGAGACCATCAAATCAGTATTTATTATGTAAAGGAGAGAAACTTAAAGTTCTGGAAAAAGCCTATTTTAAAAAGTATTGATGCCAAAAATAAAAATAATAAAAATAAGTAAATAAATAAGAAATAGCATTGATGCATGATTAAACAAAACGCTATCTTCAAAGTACTGTTATTTTCCAAAAAACATAGGAAAAGGCTACAAAGGAGTTAAATAAAACAAATTTTAGCCAGCTTTCATTAATTTTTCATCAACCTTCACACTCAATTTAATAATATTCTTTGTTCAAAAAGTTTCAAAAATGTGAACTATATTGCAATGTAACATGAAACCCTCTCATATGTATATACTAAAATTTTATAAGACAATAGTCATAACAGAAATTTTCTGTGTATGGATTATAGCCCCTTTAAATCAATAGTTCTCAGGTGGTTAAGCAAGCAAGTTTTTAAAAAGACCTGCCTAGGGGGGTGGCCGGTTAGCTCAGATGGTTAGAGCGCAGGCTCGTAACACCAAGGTTGCCAGTTCAATTCCCGCACGGGCCAAGAAGCTGCGCTCTCCACAACTAGATTGAGGACAACTACTTTACTTGGAGCTGATGGGTCCTGGAAAAATACACTGTTCCCCAATAATATGTCTTTAAAAATAAAAAAAGACCTACCTAAATAAAGTAATAGAGAATTACAACGACAGACATAAACCTCAATATGTTACACAAGCTACTTCCACCGATAATGAAAGACATCCATCTGAACTGTAGGCAATTTGGTTACAGAATGTTATGTTTTCAGAATAGAAGTTACACAACTGGTTCTATTCCTGTTTCTTTGTAATGAAGTTGACTGCTTTCGTTTAACAGTAGGAAGCACCAAGACAGAGGAAATCTACACAGCACTGAGAGACACTTTCAACAGGCATTTGACCTCAACACTGCAAAAATGGGCGCGAAGGCATACAAGCCCCAGAAAGGTTTGCATTCAAATTGAATTCAAAGTGCCTCAGGTCCATCTTAGTTATTGTTTGTGTATGAGAACAGTAAGAAAAGAGAGATAATGAAAAAAGTGCCTAATTGAATTTAAAGATTGTTTCTTAGGTTTTCTCTCAGATAGTCCATTCTACTGGGTAGCATTAAGTTCAACCATTTTGATATTTACATCTCCAGTAAGTCTAAACTAAAAGTGTCAAGTAAAAGTAGCTCTCACAGGTAGCTTCAGCCCCTGGTAACAATTACTGAAATTTCAGAATAATTATTTCACACTACAGGCTAACTTCAGAATGTGAACATCTAAAGTCAAAAAGTGATGACAAATGTCATATTAGATCACATTAGAATAAGATTCCTAATTCTCTAAATACACTATCAACATGAACTGGTGCGCTTCCCAGTTCCAACCACATCCTAAAACAATAATACCATTAGAAGTTAAAACTACAAAAGGGCTCAATTCCACATCTGAGGCTTTTAATTGATGACTTGTAAACTTCTGCATAAATATGGCAACTGTCTTATTTCCTAACTTGAAAGCACCTGCCCCTTTGTAGCCTATTATGGATCTATAATCTTTTTACATAGAACTACATTACTAAATCGCTATATTATAAAGCATTTAGAATCATCAATGTAACATTAGCTCTGAGAGAATAATTAGAAAAACAAAAAAAGCTCTCATCTTTTGTGCTTAAAAGCTTAAAACTGTTATCAACTCCAGGAAAATTGTCCCTGTGAACCTTTTCTTACCCACCACCCCACCCCCGATTCCAGGGTTGCCGATGCCTTCCCTGTGCTCCTAAAGCACTCAGTCCATCCCTTTTGAATAACACTAGTCTCCTAATATTAGTTATTTACTTACATGTTTGTATTCCCACCCCCCCACCCCCGCCCCGAGTAGGCCTGAGCAGACCTGAGCTTCGTAAAAGCAAAGGACTCTTACCATCACCTTCATGCTTAGCATATAGACATTCAAATGCCTAATTAAATAAATAAATGAAGCCCAAGAAAGTGTGCTTGGAGGGTGAGGGGATTTGTTGTGGGTTTACTGAGGGAGGAGGAGTTGAATTTAAAATATCCATGTGGCGATTACCTGTGATTAAGTCAATATCTGACCATAAAGTTAGAATCTTAAGATTGTATGCACTGTTGCAGAATTCCATTAATAGCATGTAGACACATGACAGATCCTTGTAGAGATCCTAAAAGGACAACTTCAAATCTCCATTCTTTTCCCTCCAGCAGCTCCTATTCATTTTCCCAGAAGCCACTGCCCACAGGAACCAAGTCCCTCCACCTACCCCTGACCCATCGGATGCTTAATTAAGAGCGGTGTTGACCGCAGCCATCAACTTTTCTACTTCTTGATGGGAGACAAGTGCTTCTACAAGGCGATGGAACCCTATTCTGTTTCCAAGTCCACCCACCTTCTCCAGGCAGATGTGTAAGGAATCAAGCATAAAAAACGATCTCTATTAAACACCAAGGCAGCTCTCGAGACACTTTAACACAGAATCAATGTTAAATAGTTACCTGGGTGGTCACATGAACCCAAACTTCCTTTATAATGTATTATATTAGTAATGAAATATTGCTTATATTGCAAAATACTCTGTTCTAAATAACAACCTTCCAAAGAAAATGTTTGGGACTCCAGTACCTATACTGAGGACTACCTATGGTTTTGGGGGTATCATTAAACAGTCAGTCTGTTCAATAACTGTGATACTTCAAATCAATTCTCATGTGATAAATAAGTTAGAATGCAAGCCTGTCAAATCTAATAACCATACAAAGTTTTCAATGAAGTTCTATGAAAATAAACACATGCCCCGCCCCCAGGTCCACCCACTCTTATTACCATAGAAATAAACTTCAGACATTACAATTCACTTGAAGACTTTCTGGAGGAGAAAAAAAGTAAGGTTTGCCACAAGGTTAGGTACTTCATAGACTACATATTATTTGTACAGCCTCCAAAAGCATCTCCAGTGTTAGCAGTGTAAGCAGGCAGGTTAGGAGGGCGGGGTTTAAAGAAGTTTGCAACTCATCTGTCCCCAGCAGCTGACTCACGCCTGGGGGCACTGACAGCTCTCCACTAGAGACCAGTGCTACTAGGGGTGCAAGTTAGGCAGACAGGTTTCACACTCCTCTCTTAGATACTTTTTTTAAAAGAGAAAGTTTTAGAAAAGTAATAACTCTTGATTCAAACCAAGTCCCTTTCGGTTTAATCCCGTAATATAAAGATCCTCACATAAGTACATACTTGAGCATAAATACTTAGAAATGTACAAGTACTACTTAGGAATGGTATTCGGGCTACATTATGAACAGTACTACGTAAGGTTATGACTTTAAATTCTGACTAGTCTGAAAAGCTTTTTTCCACTTGGAAAATGTGCAAAACAAATTATATGCATTAAGAAGTCTTTTGTAAAGCAGAAATTTTTAAAATAAATTTTTATCCCTTGTGTAAATTTTAAGTTTCAAACAACAGATTTGAATGAATTAGAGTTCCCTCTAGTTTGTTCCAAGTACTGAAATACCTCAGGGTTATTTCCCTACTAAAAATATTCGTATCACAAGGTACTAACAAACACAGCTAATGCAACATAAGAACTGTTTTTTTAAAAGTCCTGCTTTTGCAATAACTACCATGTTTCTGCAATTATTCTAGAAGTCTAAATGAACTAAACTTAATACTGGAATACTGAAATAGTCCTACTTCATCAATATCTTAATATAGATCAAATGCCTTCCTCACTATCTTCATAGAACAAGCGTTAAGTAAACCCTAGAAAGCATAGCTGTCTTCATACAGAGCCTTGCTGCCGGCTTAAATTTGCCTAATGCCAAAATATTTCCCACCCTAAAATCTAATCCTCTTCATTAATTAAACAAAAGGTTGAGTTATCACTGAACACTGCTTATTCAGGAACCAAAATTTTATACAATGCAGAACGTGAAAGCCTCACCTTCATATAATCTACACAACATTACACTTCTGTAAATTATTCTCAGACTTCTTAATTATCAACTATGTCCTTTCAAATCTAACTCTGGGAACAGATGGAGCTATACTGTCTGTCTGTATTTTATTTATTTTCTTTGCAAATCCAGATATGATCAGAATGGAAAAAAACGCCACATTAATGCACAAATGGCCATATGAAAGGAATAAAAAGATGCACCGAATGGTGGGACGTGAAATGGACTGTTCTCTTCTAAAATTAGTGAAATTTCTGTGTGTCCTCTACAGGAGAAAAAAGAGTCAGAGGCAGAAGAAAGTGTATCCAAAACTTATAACTTTGCTTCTTAAAACACAGATATTAGCCTTGAAGGTGTCATTTTTATGGGGTCCCACACTCATTTAAAAATATATATATATTGCTCTTTAACAGTGAGCAAATTTCTGGGCCAGGGCCAGGAGTTGAAAATAAAAAGGAATTTTAGTATAATAAGCAATAAAAGCTTTAATACGAACTGTCATGTTTCACCCTTTTTTTAAAGGAGGCATCTGTCATCCCGTATTCGGTGGATGACTTTTTAAATCCAAGGAAAACGGTCTTTTTTTATGCCTGCCAATTCTTACGTCCCTTGATATTTCTGTACACACTCACTAATTAACTGCACCTCATCAGAAAGATATTAATGATGGCTCGGCGCTCAAGAGACACACATAATCTCACAACTCAAAATCCTTCGCAGATCGCCCGAAGAGACCAATCTGATTCAGGAGGGGAGCGAGGGGTAGAGCAAGGAGAAGTCGCGCGCAGGGCACGAGAAGCTGGGGGCCAGAGCAGCTGCGCCCCGCTTTTAGACACTTACTGGTTTGCTAGGGTACACGTTAGACAGGTGCGTTTTTAGTTTTCCCACGGTCCAGTTCAAGAAGCAGCTAATAGTCTGGTCACTGTATTTCTGATTCGGAGCTTTAATGATGAGTGTCACAGGAATCTCCATCCCACTTTGGTCCATGGTGCCCCCAAAGTCGAAGAGAGTTAAGAGGAGCAGCAGTTGAGCCCCAAGGAGGTGAGATGGTTACTCCCGGCGCTACGGGGATGCGGACGGAAACGAGTGAGCTCTTAATACTCCGTATCCAAGCCAGTCACAAGCGCATCGGACGATACAAAGGCCATCGCCGGTACCAAGGATGATGGACAGGGGCGGCGGCGGCGTGTGGGGTCCCGGCCGGCCGTGCAGCGTTCCCCGCCAGGTCCGCTCCGCGGGGCTCCACCGGACTCGGGACTGCGGAGGGAGGCCCAGGGGAGAGAAAGAAGTCGATGAGAAGGAAGGACGAGGGGGGCGAGGGGCGATGTCGCGAGTCACCGCCCCGCCCCCGCCGCGACCCCCGAGCTGAAACGCAACAAGGCCCCTACGCTACGGCCCCGCCACACGGGCTGGAGAAGGGGCCGGGACCCAGAGCGGCCAGCGGGGGCGGCGTACCTGAGACGAGGCCGCGGGGCCCCCCGCCTTCTGCTCCCGGGTAGGGCCGCCGGCCGCACAGTCCGGCCGGGCGTCCTCCGCCGCGGCCGCTCCCTTCCTGCTGTGCAGCCGCGGCCACGGCCCGCCCCGGGTCTCGCGAGGAGGCGCGGTGTCCGCGGGAAAAGTTGGCCGAAGGGCGCGCCCCGCTGTCAGCCCGACCCCGCGGGCAGGGCAGGGCGGCGCGGCGCAGGGCCCGGTGCGGCCCCCACGGCCGCAGGTGGCAGGAGGGCGGGGACTGGAGCCGCGGCGCCGGCCGCCAGCGCGCCGGTTTTGTTGTTGTGAGGTCCGGGGCCCCTGAAAGCGGAAGACGAGGCGGAAGTGCGTCACGCGCGGCCCGACCGGACGCGTAGCACCGCCGGTCCGCTGCCGCCCGCGGCGCCGGGGTTCCCCCAGGACGCTCGGGGCCGAGTTCTTGGTAACCCCGAGGCCTGTCGGGTGCGTGGGAGCCGGCCTGCTCTGACCTTCCGCTCGGCCCCAACCCCCAGCCGCACTCAGGCCTCGCCGGTAGCGTAGCTGGACGTAGCGTATCCTGTTGTGACCACACCCTGAAGATGTGGCAAGTGTTCCTCCATCCTAAGAGTTGCCTGTGCGAAAGTTACCATCCTTCCCGATACTGAATCAGACTTCTGCTCAGAATTCCTTGTTGTCGCCGGTCGGCAAAGCACCGTATCAGAAGCTTTGGCGGAGGAGAGAGAGCCCGTGGGGTATTTTGCATAAGGAGCAAATGCTTTCAAGATAAACCTGAAATCTACCTCTACGTGGGATGCCGGCGAACCTTTCTGAACTTCAGTTGACGCCTGTGCATGGAGCGGGTCATGCCTACCTGAGCGCTGATGAGTAAAACGAGCTCTGTGTGGAAGCCCTGTGGTGTAGTTCTGCCGTGTGGCAATCTCTCCAATAAACGTTCCTTTCCATTTCTTTACTCTTCGTCTTCACAAAAGTTGACGCGTGTTTCCTGAGCACCTACTGTGTGTTCAGTACAGTGGGAAAGGCATAGGGATGGCAGTGTTATTTTTCTGGGTTTTGGCTTAGACGTGGTAACGCAAGGTGAAGTCAGTCCACTGCCCAAAGCTGACTTACTCGATTTTCTGCGCGGGCTTAGGAGTCAGTACCCCAAGGTAGTTTGTTAGATGTGCATTTTTACAGCTCCAGGCTTCCACTTAAAGAAGAATGCAAGCAGGTTATATAGGGGATTTGGGGGAGCTGGTCTCTTCCCCTCTCAGCTTCAGAAGGGCTAGTGACGGGGCGATTCTTCGTCTCAACAGCTCATGCAGCAGGCCCCCTTCCGCCCTCTCTTCCTTCACCTCGTGCTTTATGGTGGGACACCTATCATGTCTTAGCCATCCCCTCTCAATGCGCTTCTGAAATAAGAGTGAAGCCCCCTTTATTTCTTGTCATGGAATAAGGACAGCTCGCTCAGGTTTTCTATAGCAGAAATCTCGTCTTTTGCTCTCTGGTATTTGGTCATCCTAATGGAACCTTAATTCTAGCTAAAAACATTTTTTTAGACCCATGTCTAGGGGCAGCCATTTGACTCAGTTCTAGCCAATAAGATGACAGTTGAAGTTGCTACTGGGGCTTCTGGGAAAGCTCTTAGATGGATGTTTCCTGCAGATCAAAGCTCATCCCTGCCCTACACCTGTCTTTCTTCCTGGAGGAATAAGATGCCAAAGGTGCAGCAGCCACAGTTCAATCATGAAGCAACAAACAGGAGAACAAAGACGTACATTCCAAGGATAGCCGAGCAGAACAGTTCAAAGAGGCTGGATCCCTTATGGCATCATTGTGCCACCATGTAAGTCCTAAGCTGTCAGCTTCAAGACTACTTTTTTGTCTAATTCCTGTTTGAGCCAGGAAGTCCCCCAGCCACCACCACCCAAACCTGCAGTTCTTGTCACTGATGCTTGTGACTCAGACTTCCAGGAATCCTTTACAGTAATGTGGTCATCTCACTTGGCACTGGGAAATGTACATTATTAATGAGATAAACATTCATAATTGTTAATATTAAGACAGAATGTGCACATCACTGTGATAAGGACTATTTAAAGCAGAGTCCATCAAAGGTTCACTAACATGGACAAAAACATTTAAAAACATAATGAACATTTACAATATTGAAACATGGGTATAAAGATGCTATAGTATCTGACAAAAATGGCCTTTTTTTTTACTTTACAGCTGCCTGAATTAAGTACCTAAAAATGCTTTTGATGCAGCTGAACTTGACCACAATAAAAACACAAATACATAAATATGATCCCGTTTTTGTTAAATTATGTATATATGTGTATAGAACAATGTATGAAAGAGTGGTCCCCAGAACGCTGATAGTGTTTAACTAGGAATTTGGGGTTGGAAAAATAGCATGGAGGGGGATGCAAGATAGCAATTACTCAGAGGCTGTGAGCCTTGTGCTGCTTATTTAAATCATTGTACATGTTGCAGATAAGAAATGGAAATGTGAAGGAACAACTGCACATCTCAGGTACCATTTGTTACTTAAAGACAGCCTCAAATGAGAATGCTTAAGAGTATGATGCTAATAGATAATAAAGGATTTGTGATTGTTAAGACGAAATCTACTTTAAGAATATTAATTATTCAGGGCCAGCCGAGTGGCTCAGTTGGTTAAGAGCTCACTCAAGAGTGCGAGCTCTGAGCAACAGCAGTTTGATGCCCGGTCCGAGCTGAGCTGCAGCTGAGCTGCCAACAGGTGGCAGGATGGCTCAGCTTAAAAAAAAAAAAGAATATTAACTATTCAGTGCACGTCATCTTAGGGGCGAGTTCAGTAATTCAGGGTGATCTGCCCATGGAGTAGCATTCTTCATTAACAAAGTAAAACAAATTTAAAGAAAATTATTTGTAAATAATAAAAATTGATTTACAGTATTTGTGGGATGTTTATTTACTTCCAATTATTTTAATCTTTGGGGTGAAAAGGACAGGTAGAAAAGCATATATTGACTCCTTCTGTGAGATTCCAGTGTCTCATAAGATTTTTAAAGTGCTCGTTACTGAGTTTTCCTTACCGAAATTTGCAATACCTTTCAGGAAAATCAAATACTTTATTGATGTTGAATAATATAGTCTGTGGCATTTTGGTTTTTGTTTTTATTTTTCTGATAACTCTTGGGAGGAAAGACTTGTAATCAAGTGATAATCTTGCAGTTGCAAATTTCAAAGATGATGGTGGCCATCTGGCTTCTGATTCCTTCTATTTCTACTTATAGCAAACTTGTCTTTTCCTTATTTATTTAAAGATGCTGGGCGACAAAGCATCTAATCAAATATTAATCAAGTTTACTGTTAAAAAACACAAATGAAATCCTACACTTGAAACCTAGGGAAATTAGCTCGTTTCAACATTGCACGCTCAAAATCTTAATTGGCTTCAGATGTTTGATTATCAAGCATATTGTAGAAAAGGGAAGGAAGAAAACACATGTATTAAATGGCAAATGGTTGATTTGAATGCTGTGTCATCGAATGAATTCTCAGAACAGCCCTGAGACATAGAGAAGCCTGGAAATGCTAAAGGTCTTGCCCAAAGTCACACAGCTCATAACTTCCAAATAGAGGTCTAATTCCTCTAGAATGCACACTCTTCTTATTACACTCAACTGTCTTATTTAAAGATATTCATGCATAACAAGACACAGTCGGGAGGAAAAGGCATTCAGGAAATCATCTGGATTTCAGCATAAACCCTTCCAAGGGGAGGGAGTGCCATAGTTTTCACTACTGCACGACCTGTTGTTGAACAGATATGGCTGCTATAAATGGATTGTAATCTGCATTCCTATAATTTCTCTTTAAGCCACTTTTCTCCTCTTGATCAATCCAAAATAGAACTCTTATTCCACATGCCAGCCCTTTAAATGTATAACCATTAAATGCTCTCTCCATATAGATTCTCCAGACTGAACAGCCCCAGACCCTTCAGGCATCCTCGAGAATAGCTTCCAGATCGCTCAGAATACTGGCTCGCCTTTGCAGATACTATTTTGTATATCCCTCGTCAATTATGGTAACCATAATGAGCACTGACACACGTTGTGATTTCCTAGAATAATCTTCATAAGGACACATCTATTATTTCTGTAGTAATAGAAATCTTCATAAGCTGGTTTAACAGCTGCATGTCCTGCTTTTCAGAAACTACTGGGTTGTTGGGAAAGTCATGACGCATTTTTGCAATGAAAAACAGAAAAAGTACGTCATGACTTTTCCGACAACCCAATATATGTCTAGTCAGTACCTAGAGTAACCTTCTGGTTAAGACATCATCAGAAGTCTCTTATTTCTCTGATGATTCAGTCTAGTGACTTATCTATGATAATATTTAAAAATATATATAGCTAAATAGCTAACCTGACTTCTTTAAGTGACCAGAGAAGTGGGGAAAGGGGCAAATCCTTTATATTTTTCACCATTTAGAGAATTTTGACCTAAATAGATGTGTTACTTATCTATTGCTGAAAGACAAATGACCCAAAACTGTGGATCAGAATATTGGAAACAGCTTAGCTGGTGGTTCTGCTTTGAGTCTCTCATGAAATTGCAGTCCGGGTTTCAGATGGCATTCAGTTATCTGAAGGCTTGATTGGGATGGGAGGACCTACTTCCAAGGCGGTTCACCCATAAGGCTGGCAATTTGGGCTGGTTATTGGCGTGAAGTCTCAGTTCCTCCCCGTAGGGGTCTCTCCACAGGACTGCTTGGGTTTCTTACGACACGCCAGCCGGATTCCCCCAGAATGAGGAATTCTGGGGGAATTCCCCAGCGCAAAAGCAGTAATGCCATTCGTGACTTAGTCTCGGAAATCATACACTGTCACCTACACAGTGCTCTGTTGGTCACAAAAACCAGCCCTGAGTCAATGTGGGAGGGGAGAACATACGAGCATGAATACCGGGGGTAAGGACTGCCGGTGTCACATTGGAAGCCAGCTACAGTTATGTACCTTGCCAAAGCATAGCAGGTCGTAGGAGAAACCCCGTTCCTTCTGTCTACAACTACCCAAGTCCAAATCCCAATAATGGTCTTGCCAGCGTTTCACAGCTGCTTGTCCTTCTGCTGGCAGTCAGCCTCTCTCTTCCAGAGATCTTTCACCCATTTCACCCAAAATAGAACTGTCTAACATTACTGGCTATATTTCTCAAATGTTTATCTTTGTTGTGAAAGCAAATAGAGTTTAGTTGCATTTGGGGATATTAAGTTTGCTACTCTACATTCAAATGAAGTAAAGAATAAGCACTATACTGAACCTGGAGAATAGTCATTGGCCCAACCCAGGGTTTCTTAATCTGGGTTCAGAGACTTACTCTGAATCATCTACAAGACTGTACATATGTACACATGTGCATTTAACTAGAGGGAGAGGCCATGGTTTTTATCAGCTCCTCGAAGGGGCCATTTGTAACAACTTTCAGAGCCCCAATAAAATCCAGTCCTTACTGAAAGGTTTTTCCCGTTAAAGGAGATGTGTTACTGAGCCAAGTTATGGCCTCAAGGGTCCAAAAGCACTTCACTGCCTGCTTTGTGACAATAGAGAACAATTCTGTAAATATGTCTCCTTTTTCAGCTGTCATAACCTTCAGCTTTGTCCGTGGAGGCACTGGAGGGACACTGGAGGGAGAAGAGCTTTTCCGAGTAGTGTCGCATGCTCCTTAGACAGGCTCGTTCTGCACGTGTGGGCTCTGCAGCTCCCCTCTCCAGCGGTGCCCAGTGGCCAGCCGTGTGTAGCAACTTCCATGATCACCTTCTCCAGGGCCCCCCTCACGCGGTGGTCACCAGTACAACACCCTCCATGACCAGCCTCCTCTCACAGCCCTGAGGCAGCTTTGCACCTTCAGCGAACTTCTCTGATTCCAAATGAGACTCAGTCACTGGGCTTCTTCAGTGAGGGTCTAGCTCAGCCCTGATGGCGATAGATGATCCCGATGTCTGGTTTTCCTATGTTCTTTAAAATCCTCTTCACTCCAGCTCGCTCAAGAGTTTGAGCTCTGAGCAACAGCGGTTCGAGTCCAGCCCGAGCTGAGCAGCCGCTGAGCTGCCAACAGGTAGCAGGATGGCTCNACAGCGGTTCGAGTCCAGCCCGAGCTGAGCAGCCGCTGAGCTGCCAACAGGTAGCAGGATGGCTCAGCTTAAAAAAAAAAAAAAAAAGAAAGAAAGAAAATAAAATCCTCTTCGCTCCTTATACTAGCCATCTCCTTATTGTTTGATTTCTGTCTCCTGACTGGACCCTGACTGACACAGAACTGGTATCAGTAGTGGTGCGAGGAGATAGACACACGAGGAATTTGAAAACTGCTTTGACTGTGCCATTTGGCTGAGCTCCGTCCCAGTGGGAAATGAGACGAAGGCAGTACAATGAATCAAACGATCATCTGCCAACCGAACATGCCAACCGAAGCAAGGGGTTGCCCAAGTGGTTGCTGCACTTGACCGTTATGGTAGCTAAGATGTCCGTAAGGACAATGGAAATGGATTCTTCGGAGTGCACGTTAGCACTTATATTGGGTTGTCGGAAAAGTCATGACACATTTTTGCAACGAAAACCGTAGAAAAAATACATCATAACTTTTCCAACAACCTAATAGAAAGAAAATAACATGCTCATGTCTTTCAACTCTTAGCTCGAGTCACTGTCTAAGACCAGCATGCTTCTGTGACAGCTATAAAAGAATTATTTAGTTCTTGCAGACATAAGGGTAATATTATTGAAAATCAAGCACATAATTTTATTTTAGGAGTTGCTGAATTATAGCAATCATTGAATTCACAGCCCCATCAAATTTTCATATGGAAGCTAGGATATTGAATGGCATTCCAAAAATTGGAAGTGGGGCATCTGGTTGGACCCAGATGAAGCTGACAATCTCAGAGCTACAAATCACTCTAAGCCTCCTCTATTGGTGAAAGTAACTGGCCTGGAGAGTAGCCTTCCTTTGCTTAAAAACTCTGTGCAAACCTCACCTGGAGCACATTCCTTAAAAGGAGATCTTTTTTCTCCTCAAGACCCACCAGAACCACCCCCTATTGACACTAGAACTAGAACTAGGGTTAAATCTCAGCACTTTCACAGAGACAAGTATACACACTATGACCCAGGAAGAAACAGTTTACACACCAAAGTAATTGCAAGACTTTGTTACTATAGATCAGCAGAAATCGATCAATAGAGTAGATTCCAAGAGTGTTAGTCACAGGAGGGTGAAATATGACACTAGATGGGGCCAAATTAATCAATACGAGTGCACTTACTAGAGGTTGCAGATTTAACATGTTGGTTCATGAAGCTGATGGTGGCTCTCGCAATTCATTAGGTGATTGACTGAAACCTGGACTTAACTATGCCCTACCTTTAATACAGCTAAGATACCAGAGCTTTCCTGGCATGATGTAGATAAAGGAATCCAAGGGCCTGGGCGGATAGAAATGTTCAGCTGTGTCGCATGTTACCTGCACACCCACCCACCCCCTGCAACATTCCATGAGAAGGCCCAGAAGATGGTTGCTTCTCTAATGCATTGAGAAATCCATCAGTGAGGGGAGCACCCACCTCCTTGTAAAGCTCTGCAGTCGCTCTCATGTGTAGGCCAGGTGTGGATGAAGGCAACGCTGCCACTGAGACGAACTCCTCAGTTACAGTGCCAGCTGGGAGACAGCACTCTGAAAAGATGGGGACCTGCTTTATAGGATGCAATATATGCTTTGAAGCAGAGACCATTATACGCAGAGAGCCATGTGGATTCTTAGCTCAACTGCAAAAACAAGATCCAGTATTTACATTGACAATATTTGTGTTGGTCACTATTGTAGAGGACACAAAGAATGGTAAGGTGTGCTTGCCTTCAAGGAGTTTGCAATTGAGTAGGAGACAAGAAGACTGAGACAAATTAGAGTTAAGGGAAGTGCCCCGAGCCATCCTGCAACCCAGCCAGTCTCAGCCCGAAGCAGAGGACTGAGGTGAGGGAAAGTATGTAATGTACCGTGTTAAAGTGGGCTGGGGGCAGTTTGCAAAAGGCAAACAGTAATTTGACATGATTCCCCCTTCCCTCAACCTTGTCCAAGTTTGCCTCACATTTCCCCCAGATCATATGTTCATGAAAACCCCATCCACTGCTTTTCCTCCAGCCCAGCTGAGACGCTCAGTTCCTTACCAGAGAGAGGCCGGCTGTGCTAAGAGGATAAGATGATCTCACACTACCAGGCATGCGTGGCTACCTTGTGAATGCCTGTTTTTCACTGTGTCATTCTTAAAGGCAGCCTCGTCCTTCATCACGCTCTCCCCCATCCCACCCCTTCCCTTCTAATAACTACAGCAATTTCTTTCTGTTGGTAGTGTCTCCCTAATTCATTGTGATAAGATTCTGAGGCCAGATCTGGGATCAGCAAAATAGTTGATGGGTCTGACTGCACAGGGTAAGGAAAGAAGGAATGACAGTTAAGCCAAGTATTTCAAATACTGTACACTAGAAACCCATTTCATTCACTCATTCATTCATTTATTCATTCAAAGCATTTTGCACTCCAAAGATTTTGTACTTTTTATCTTACCTTGAAAACTATTTCCCAAAACGCGTATAAAATTTTTAAAATAGTTACATAACTGGTCAAGAGAAAAGGCCAAAGTTCTTGAGAAAAATTTTAGCTGAGTTCACATTTTTTTCCCTCTTCTCAGATTTTTTCTTTGTGTATTACTCTTCATGGCTCCCTGGGGTTTATAAACTTTTGAATCTGAAATAGCAAGCTAGCTTTGACTAAGAAAACTTGTTAAATTCCAGGCTTCAGAGAGTCACAGGACAGCTTCTTGAGTGTAGTCTTTGTCATACTCATTCTTAAAGAATGCAGCATTTTATCACCCCGAAGGGGTTTATGTTTCATAACTTTGATGTTGCCCAGTGCAAAATGCTCAGTTCTGTTGCAAGAATTGGTAGCTAAGATCACTCCAAGAATGAGGACAAAGCAACTTAACATGAGCAGAGTGCCTATTACAGATGTGGAGTGTGCTACGTGCTTTTAGGTAGAGATCTCCCTGCATCCCTTCAAGATAAACCTTAAGTCCCCACTTTGAAACTCACCCTGCCCCATCCTTAGATGTTTTCTGGATGCTTCCAAGTGAGATCTGTTGCATTTACCATGTGATAATGGCTTCTTGATAAGTCTGTCTTTCTCAAGAGACTGTGAGCTCCCTGAGGCTAACTACGTATTATGCCTTAACCATATTTTTATCAGTGTTGCCCAACACAATCCCAGCTGTATAATAACAAAAAATATTATCGACTAAATAATAATACTCATTTTGCAGAGGAGAGAAGTGAGCTATAGAGAAGTGAAGTAATGTGTCCAGGGTCACCCAGTTAATAATTGGTAGAGCTGCTGATACAAAAGCGCACAGATTTTTTTCCCTATTCGTTCCTGTTTAACACACCTTCTAGCTCCGTGTCTATAGGGTTTTGTGTTACCATTTATGTCCTCTCTCGGGTGTTCAATAATAGACAGTAGAGTGTCTGGGAGAACCACAGGACAGAAATCTGGCCCATATTAAGGAGATATACCATGAGGTTAGCAAAAAGATGACAGAATCATTACAGGGACAAAGTTCAGAAGAGGGGACGTCACTCTTCAGACATCTGCTAGGAATCAGGTAGCTAAAAGCAAAATCCCAATTCACTATAGATTTACTTGTTATTTACCCAGAAAAACAACCTCAGAAATTTCAGCAGTGTACCTGATTCTTATCTCTTATACTTTTCCTTCTGTCATTTATAGATTTGGCCACACCACAGGCATTTTCCTGCTAACTCCTCAGCCAAACTCAGAATTTTAATCTATTATTTATTATTGTACATATGAGTGGAATCTCCTATGATTTTATATGCTTGTAGCTTTTTATTTTGTATCTATGAAAGTCATTCTTTGGTTAACATAACCATTTTTTTACTCACCCTTGCCCCAAATTGCAGCTTACAGAGTAACACTTCAGGAAAGGAAAATTTTGAGGCACTCTCCTTATAAAGCGTCTACACTTGTGAGGATGCTAAGGAACCTACGAAAGTAGATGAGCTTAAAGAAGGAAAAGAAATCTCAGCATAAATTGGTACTTTTTCCCAGATTCATGCGCGAGATGATCTTTGCTCCCCATTTATGCGTTGGTTCTCCAGTTTTTTCAAAATTCCTGAAGAAACTTCCATTTTGGACACATGGTCTCATTTTGACTATTATCAACAGAAACCATTTTTAGATGACTCTGTCATAAAAATTTTTTCATCAGCTATGATTTTCTTTTATTTAAAACTTATTTTTTAACTTTATAAGAAATTATAGTCTTCATTTTTATAACCTCCCCATCCTAAGTTAACAACTGTCATTATTTTGTATAATGTCTTCCAATTTTCATTATATATGTATGCATATTTGTAATGAATTCATGTATATATGTATAGTTTTATAATGTAACAATAGTATTGCATACACAATTTTAGAAAATTCTTTTTGTCAATTCTTTTTATTTCTATTTGATTACTTTTTTATTTCTACATACTGATATTTATCAGTGCTGGAGTTTCAAAATATAATACTATATCAAAGTGCCATCATTTAATTTCTCAAGTATTAGATATGAGTTCACAGTTTTTCATTATTAAAAATAATGCTTTTGTAAACACCTTGGTAAGCTTAGCCCTTATTCTTACAACATAATCCCAGAAGAGTGGTTACTAGTCAAAGGATCTGAATAGTTTGTCACTCTTGAGATACATTGGCCATTATATTTTTAAACCAATTGAAAATAAGTTTGAAACGAAAGTAAGAATTTGGCATTATTTACTTTAACTTGCTTTAGTCCAGCTGTTAATATAAAATGTGTGGCCAACCAACATTTTGAAATTTGCCAAAAATGTCATTTAGTTAATTTTGTTGCATGTGATAAAAAGCTATCAAAAAGGCATGGCTAGATTCAGTTCTTTTCCCATTCTTTGCTTTTTTCCAAATGATACCAGCAATGATATATTGGTATCATTCTTTGGGGGGCTTTTTCTATAGTAGGAAAAATGGCCACTGGCAATCTCAAGCCTACATCTTTAAGAGTATGGCTTCTTTATATCAGATCTCATTCAAGGGTTCTGATTACACTTGCTTGACTCTGATGCCTACACTGGGGCAATCATGGCTGTGAAGATGTAGTACTCTGATTGGCTCATCTTGGTCACATGCTGACCCTGAGGGTGAAGTGCAAGGCAGCATGACTGACAGCCCTGCTAGGAGCCATGGACTTGAAGAGAGGTGATTTTCTTAGAAGGGCTCTTGCATTTTTCTATATTGTTTCTAAACATCTTCCCATATTTAAGTGTAGATGTATACTTGACCCTATTTAAGATTGTGAAGAAGTTTTCCTTGCTTGCTCTGTTATGTCCCCTTTTCTGCATCCTTTTTCCTCCATTCTCACAGACCTACCTACTACTGTCCAGTGATCTAATGTTCTTATCTAACCTGTTTTCTATCAGGTTAGCAGGAGATGGAGAGAACGCGAAAAATCCAGGCTTCAAATCACTCCCCTTCCTAGAGTTGGTTAGGTTTTAATTGGGGACAATCATAAAGGAATAAAAAAGGAAGAATTTGCAGCGGATGGGAAACGTCTGAGAACCTTCAAATACTTGCCTTCTACAGGAATTCATTTTCCCCCCTTTAGATTACTCGTCTTATCTTTGGTGAAAAGAAAGTAAGAGATGGCTGGAACCCAGAATCTTGAACACTGGAACCCAGTCCATTCACTTAGAGCCCCCGAGAATATACACATGCTGAGGTCAAGGCTAGCCAAGCATGCTCTTTATCACCGCGAGACTTTTGCCCAAACCCCACTGTTGAGCAAAGTACCAGTGGCTAAGAGCTTAGGCTCTGGATTCAGGTCAACCTGTGCTCAAATGTGGCTGTATCGTTTATTACCTCTATGATCTTGGGCAAGTGACTGAACCTCAGGGAGTGTTAATACCTTTGACTATAAAATGGAGATAGTAATTTCCACCTCATGGAGTACGGTGAGGATGAAGAGATAATACATGCAGACTGCTTAGTACAGTGCCTGGCGTATAGTAAGCCCTCAAGAAATGAATTGTTTGATGAGGAGAATGAAGAAAGAGGAGAAAGATAAAGAAGAGGAGGAGTAAGAGAGCAAAGGGAGGAGGAAGGGAAAAAAGAAAGTGAAGAGAGAAGAGGAGCAGGGGAAGGAGAAGGAGGAAGGTGTCACCTTCAGATGAAAGGCCAAATCACATAGAAACGTCCTTTTCACTTGGCTATAGGTGGGTCTTGGCGACTAAAACAGTGGTGTTCAAAATTTTTTTTCCTGATACCTCTAAAATAACATTTTTAAAACTGTGAATCACCTTATGCATTTTTAAGTTGATGTGTAAAGTTTTTCATCATGAGTTTAAAGAGTTACAAAAGGATATTATTCCTGGCATTGTACAAAGAGTGGCATTTTAAAATAAAACTACTACATCACTTTTAGCGACTTGGTTGTTGGAGTCATTCACATTCTTAATGTCCAGGGTATTCTCATAAAAGTCTATGACAAGGCATCAGATAATTATTAATTGTGCCTGTCTGTCTCTTACTCGGAAGCAGCGTGGTCAATCCGCTGGACTCAGAAAAGGGAAACTGCAAATTTGTTAATTTCAATACACCTTTGCCATTACCATAGGCTCAAAATGTATTTTCATAAAAATCTCAGAGCTACAGATTTCACTTATTTATTTCATGACACATATCTGTTATTTACATTAATTACCAAAGCCAACCCTATTGCCAAGCCAATCAGAGATATCAGACTACCTTTTTTCTATAGGAAAAAGATTAACTTCCTTTTTAATTGGTATATTTGGGCTGATGAAGGGAAGTGAACTCTAAGTGTATGAGATATATACATACACACATTCGCATATATCATGTATCTTATACATTCATACATGTAGTTTGGAGACCCAAGCGCCATACCAATAAAACTCAACTGTGTGGCCTTTGGCTCATGGGCCCGTTTCCTGTTAAACCCACATCAAAGCCCAGCTCTGATCAGCCTGACACTAAGACGTGATCAACCCAAGGGAAAGGACAAGAAACTGAGAAAACATTTATGAGCTACAACCCATTCCTATATTAATGAGACCCAAATAGTGTCCTTAGGCTTAACCCACTTGTGTTAACTCCTGCTTGGGTGGGCGGGGTTTGCCTTACAAGATGCCCAGTATTGTGTGAAATATCCCAGGTACAGCGAACTGAAATTCAAAACTGAATTATAGTTTCAAATACTGTATAGGAATCTCAGGTACAGTGTTAGCACTGCCAATGTGCCAATGTTCCATTCTGTGATTCGATCTGATGTTTAACTAAGTCCACGGACCAACAGATTACAGTTACTTCCTGGTCATTCTCTCAGATGGGCAACTGATTACTGCTTGTGGGAGTATCAGTGAAGACCACATTTCTGGGGGTGGGGATGGCAATTTGATAATGCACATCAAAATCTTACAAGAGGACTGTAATTCAGAAGGGTTGGGGGTATATCCTGGGGGCCAGTGATGTTCTATAGCTGAGTTGGGTGTGGATACACTGTTGTTTATTGTGTAACTGTTTGCTAAAGTGTACATGTAATGTACTTTTCTCTATGTTGTATTTCACAATTACGAAACTGTTGTAAAATATAACAACACATACTTACTCTGTTATTCACTGGACATAGGTCTTCCAAAGTTTAAAAAAGATGTAGGGATGATTTTAAGTCATTGTTTATAAGAGCAAAAAAATGAAAACTAAAAATCCAGAATAAAGGATTTGGTGAAATAAAGGACAACATAATTATAATTGGAATACTATATAGCTTTTAAAAATTCTGCATAGATAAATATGTACTGAGGTAGAAGTTATTCATGACAGAAAGTGAAAAACAAATTGCAAAAACCATGTTCAGTAAAATATCCCTTTTCACCTAAAAATTATATAACCTATCTATAAAAATAATTTCTGAAAATATATAAACCAAGGTATTAATAGTGGAATTGTGGTAAGGATTTTACTTCTTTTTGTCTATCTATATTTTCAAACTTTTCTACATGAATTTGGTTTACTATTTTGGTAAGAAAAAAAGTTATTTTTAATTTTTAAAAGCTAATGTATCCTTTGATTCAGCAGCAAGACTTGTTGACATTATTCTGAGTTTTGTCTTTTATTTTTAAAATAAAACATACATTGTATAAGAACAACCAGTTCTCTTCATAAGCCCTCAAATTTTGAAATATTAATGTATTATGTTTATTGACAATTTGGGTGAAGTCAGAGACATTTTCAGGCTTTAAGTTAATTTCATAGTTTAAGTATTAATCTCTATAAAGATCTTTTTTGAAATCAAAATTGGTACTGACAAAAAGGAACATACTATCATGTTATTTTAAAGAACTAAAATTTTTTAAAAAAATGAATTCAGGCAGAATTGAATGGTTATCTTTTATTTTTAAATGTTGCTTTCTCACAAATTCTTCAGTCTTTCACCTGAAGACCAAATTTGAGACTGATAGTCAAGTTATGGATCTCATATTTACTATCACATTATTAAATTTCTTCTTAGAGGTACTTGGTGCCATACTTTCAAGAGGAAATATACTTAATAGTAAAACAGGAAACAGACGAATGAATGCACCGTGAAATGCACTGTTTCTGCGGTTACACATCTTAGCCACTGGGTGTCTCCACTGCTTCACTTCACTCACCATGATGATGGAAGTTTCCAGTGAAAACAGGCGATGAGCAAGGCTTTATTTACAGAATGCTTAACTGGGAACTGATGCAGCATTTACATTCTGGAATTTAGAAGCAATTCTGCTCTCGAATGCAATATTTCCTTGTGTTCTTTGATAACTGGGCATTTGATTTGCCAAGGAGAGGAGTGGGGAAAGCTCTTTTAACTTAACATCTCGTCATTTCCGATTTCAACGTTTTAAGCGAAACCAAAAATTCTTCATTTGTGACATCTTGGCTATTTTCATAGCTATCAATTTCAGAGTCCTACAAAAACTCAAGTAAAAACAAAACAAAACAAAAACAGAGTTACCATTAGACAGGAATATAGGATGTTTTCCTCTTGGAAAGGTAGAAAGCTACATTGCTGGTAGCTTTTGCTCTAAGAGGTGTCACTGTGTCTTGGTAAGGGCTAGTGAAGGGAAGAAAGAGGCAGGAATAACTGACACAGATGTAGACGTGATCTCTGGATAAGAGATCTTTAAGGCTGACTCTGCCTGGGTTCACAGATCTACACCTTGGGACTGATCATAATTTAAAAGCTTGACCTCAATTTATATTTTCAGATGTCATTACATTTCCATTTTGTGCATTTATGATAAACTTTTTCTCCATCCTTCCTTCTTTTAGTGTAATTTTTCTATCCCAAACCTTTCACTTTCCTGTGTGTTCTTGGTTCCCCTTGCAATCTCTTATCCCCATAGCTGTTTTTTTTTGTTGTTGTTGTTGTTTTCTTTTTTTGCTGTCCCTTTCATTTGCTAGGTTGAGTGTATAATTTTTGAATGAGAGTCATTGTTTTAAAGATTCTACTTTAGCCCTGAATCATTTCATCAGAGGAAAGGAATCTCAGAAATCTAATATAAATGGTTCAGAGTTTGAGGTGCCCCTAAATGTGAATATAATTACATACTTGAGCTAGTAATCAGTGTTATTTAATAAATTAGCTGTATAACTGATTTACTTATCTGCTTGGGGAAACTAATGAATGGTGGAATCAGAAAAAAAACATTTTAATTCAAACAGCAATGAAATTAGAGAGAACATTTTTGACTCTACAAGCTATAAATAGAGTAACTAAAAACAGAATGGTGTAGATGACAGAACTCCAAGTGAGAAAGTAGAATTTAAATATCAAGTTCACCTTCTCAGGAAAAAACACAGTCATGAGTTAGAATATGTCATTTTAAACATTTTCAAATAAGTGAAGAAGTAATGTGGGATCTTGGATCCCAGAACGGGGAGTGATTTTATATGATGTAATTCACAGAGTTCTCTGCAGAAAGAGAGAGGAGTGAAGAACCTGATTGCTGATCAAGGAGGAAGGGTAATCTCAGTTATCATCCTACCAAGAGAAGAGAAATCCACATGAAACCCTAAAAGCCCAGGCAGGTCGTCTCTCCTTAGAGTGGGCCAAATCCCTCTCTGGCTACCACATATGTCAATAGGGCTATCTCCCCTGTCGAAAGCAAGGATAGCTCCACAGAATGGGGTTCAAAAGGCAGCAGCCACACTCACTGCAGAAGCTTCATTATTTCCCAAGTTTTCTGGGATTACACTTGTGTTTTTGTTTTTTTAATGATACTTTGCAGTGGCTGGACCCCATGGGATCAAATATTAATTCTTCTAGGCTATTTATTCATTAAATAGAATGGGTTGTTAAAATACACCCATTGGGTGTGTAAGGCTTGTTGCCCGGAGTAGGTAGGGTTTCACGGTCGAGTATAACTCTCTTAATGCTCACCATCTCGTCCTCACACTCCCTCCCCACCGAAGTCTTTTATTTCACTCCCATTCCTTTTTACTTACTCCCACTACCACCTCCGCTTAGACCCTCTCATCCCATCTCCTTCCCCAGAGCCCTTTCCCCACAGCTTCCTTTTCCCCACTTACATTTTAGTCGCATCTGCTCTGATCTGTAGGTGTATTTTGCCTTAAGCAGGTGGTCAGAAGCAACACTATCAACCTGAGCCAAAGTGCTGCAATTGTGGAGGGTAGATAAGCAGGTGGTAACAAGAGCATCCAAATGAATAGGGGCCAGGCCTGGGGACCTGCCCAGCCAGCCCTGCTCAGAGGCAGTAACGAGAAGGCAGCAGGAAGCAGGAGGCATCGCCACTACTCTGAGTCCCCAGAGCAGGAAGGAGGGGGTGCTTCGTCTGAGGCAGCAAAGGGAGAAAGAACTCTCGGAGAAAGAGTAGAAAGCCCAGGAAGATCAAGTGCCAGTGCCATGTCCAAAGGGTCAGAGGAAGGACCAAAGTCAGCATGGTGGGGCCAAGAGTTCACCTTGTGGTTTGGCTCTATCAGCATGTGGGTATATGCAAGTGCCAGCCGCTGAGCCGAGAGCTGCCAAGACAGGCAGAAAGCAAGAGTGTTGGAGGAAATGTGATGGCAGAAGAAGGCACCACAGGAGTGGTTGAGGCGTGGGTTAGACAGCAAAACTGGCAGAGGCTGCTGGGCCTGATCGGGCACCAGGAATGACAGAGAGGCTGGCACGGATGAGTGTTAGCTGCTGGGCAGAACAGGCCAGATTAGCCAGTTCCACACCTGCAGCCACATTAGGCTTTGACTCAGGGAGGTGGAGGCACTTATGGGAAAGTAAAGACGCAATAGGTAAGCTAAGGTAGTGAGCGGTCAGGATGAACAGAGATAGGGCAGGCAGATGGCTCATACTGTGGGTCCACCTTTCCAGCTGCGTTCAGATAACCAAATTAAAATGTAAGTCAAATTAAGCCAAGATCAATTTGAATTCTATGTTTTGCTGGTGATGCAGGATCCTTAACTGTATCAATAAGGCCCATTCTAAACCCATTCTGAACTGGGGACAATTGTATCTCTTATTGTGGGTCTGGATGTGTTCAACCAAAAGGAAAAGACGAAGTGCAACTATTTTTAAAAAAACTGATGCACATTAATAAAGTCTAGGGAATCTTGAGAAAACTTAATTGACAGTGTTGAGATTCATATAAGTTTATGTTGAGATTTCATTTTCCAGGAATAACATTTGACTTAGTGACACTTTTATCTTCCACTAAAGTGTATATTTTAGTATAAATAACTAGCAATTGAATATTGATAGAATCTTTTTCCTTATACAAAAAATCAAAAAGATTATTTATGTGTATGTATGTGTATGTGTCAAGACTGAAAGTTAAACATAGTTTCAAGTCTTTGGCTGAGAACAAACAATGGGCAAATTCATAAGCCAGAATTGATAATTCCATGTGAAGTTAACTTGTTAGTATAAATGAGATTGTCAATATATCAGAAAGATAATCCTGTCTCAATTGTAGCTATAAATTGTACATCTTGTGTCAGATTAAATTTTTGCCACCGGCTACTAATGACTTTACTGAAAGCAGAAGATATTTAAAATGGAACTGGAAGTTTAAACAGAACCCTAGGTTGATTAATATGCTCATTGTACTTCCTTATTACAACAGTAGCAAATATTCAGTCTTTAAGATGATCTGTGATATATTCAACAGTATCATAATTTTTAAAATTCCTAATTTAACAGCATAAATTTTTAAATGACTCGTCCAAAGTTTCTATCCATCTATCCTAGCAACACAGTCAAATGTTGGAGAGCTATTGCTGCCCAAGATACAACAGCTGTCCTGGGAATCTTGTCCAAACAGTGAGTTCACTGCTATTCACAGTCATATCTGCTCTTTCCCACCCCCAAACATACACAAAAGATTTTTGTCATTCTTGGCATTGGGCGATAGACATAGCAAGACATGCCAGCAGATCTCTAAAGTCGGAATGTCCTTCCACCTGTTTTATACTGTAAGACAGACTTCCCAGCGTGAGGCAGTGTGGAGGGCTGTTTCCTTGAATGGCAGCTGAATGCGCCAGCAGGGTCCTTGGCAGGGAGGCCCGGGCACTGAAACTGGGCATTCAGGAGAGCTAAATGGAGAAGAGAAACTTGAGCGAAGTGCTTCCTGGTACACTGAGAACCTGAATGGGAAATTAAGAAGTACCAGATTCTCTAGTCTTACACCAGCCAAGGGCAGATTTCCAAGCTCCTACTTACTCTAACCTTTCCCCCAAAAAAGTGCTATGGTGATTAATAAAGTTAATAACAATTTTATTGTTTCTTTTAGAAAATAGTGTCACTGCTTTATTATGCTCTTGCTTGAGAATTCTTTCCCCATCCTAAAGTAACAATTCCAAACCACCGATCAAGCAAAACCATGGTGGAAGACAAGTAATTTAGTCTACATCTCAAAGGGACAGCTCCTTAGGTGAGAGGGCTGGATAAGCCAGCATGCTCCTTGAACATTTCTCATGTGATGTCATGTTAACAAAAAGCTGGTGGTCAAGTCCGGCCTCTGCCTGCTTGGCAGCCAAAAATCTCATCTCCCAGCAGGACACCTAGATGGGGAGAGCTCGAGGAATAGCTGCCACACTCATTCCTAGGAAGGAGGTAAATCGATGACCGAAGACCTAGCAGTCACAGGCTTTTGTTAGTTTTGTGCTGCTTGCCCTGTGCCCGCTGGAACAGGAGTTTCAAACCTAGCGGCCTGGCCGTGAAGGAAGGCAATACCACCATCGGAGGGGGCAGGGCAGAATTCCTCCAGCTAGCTTCAGTTTTTCAGGAAGCTTAAAAGTAATTGTTTACTCAAAGCCTCAAGGATGACTTTTAGTTAGAAAAAAAAAAAAAGACCTTGACTCTTTGGTTTCCTCTTGGGAAGACAGTCATTATTGTTTAACAAGTATTTTTGTTTATAAACAAAATCTTTCAAAACAGGGATTCTGGGGTGGGGGGATCATATGAAAAGGGGTTTTCAGTGGGAAATGGATTAGAACATACTGTCCTAGAGAAAACTGTTTAAGGGATGTAATTTTTCAAATTATTTTCATTAAAAATTTCCAAACAGTGGCTAACATCCCATTATACTTCGAGTCAAATTCAGAGTACTGAAGATTTGAAAACATGCTTTGAGGAGTGGCCGTGGGAACCTCTAGAGCTGCTGCCGCCTGCAGGGCGCCCTTTACTGAGTCTCTCAGGCCCCAGATGTTGCCTTATTTGCCAGAGCTGCAAGGAAACGGCAGGAATTCCATAGAAGCAGATCTTGCTTGAGCGGACCGTCTCATAGAGTTGTGGATTCTTCAAAGAGGTTTCACCAAAGCACAGGCAGAGCATGCATACAAACTCCCACAGATTCAAGAGACATAGGCAGCAATATTTATTATTAGCCTTCCTCTCATTTAACCAGCGAGAACAAAGTCCGTTGTTTCAATTGGCCCAAAAGTGCATTGATTCATTAAATCATCAGGCCTGGTTCACAGACCTATCATATGCTGGGCTCTGTGCTAAGTGCTGGGGATATAAAGATGAATGACACTAGTGGTGCCACAGTCTGGGTTGTCAAAAACAGAGGTAGGTGGCTTATTCTGGGTTGCTCAGACAACAAGCCAGCTGGGACCTGGGTTCCTCACCTCCTCCCACAGGAGGGATTACACCCAAACTTCACAAGGGACCAGTTCCTCCCTTCCGTAGACCCCAGGTCCTGGACAGCTGTCTCTGCCAGGTAGCTCCTGTGAAGACTAGTAACTAGCCCAGACTGGATGAGACCTAGAAGTCTGATTATACTCCCACCGACTAGGTCGTTCTCACTCTTGCTCTATAAGAAGGAGAGCAGCAAGGGGACAAAAGTTCCCTTTTCTGGAGTATCCACCCATGGCGTGTGCAGCAGAGAACCTTGTCCCATCTCACCTCTTTCCCTGCTCATTTTGCTTTGTACATTTACCCCAATAAAGCCAATGAGATTTCGTAGAATTCATCACAAGCCCTGTTGCATGTCAGGTGGCATGCACAAAAGGATCCATCTTATACAACAGAGCTTCCCAGCTTTGGTGATACTGCGTGGCAAAATGCTGACATCACCGGTCCTAGAACAACCCCCGTCCTCTGACAAAAAGGACTTAGTTTTCCCTTCTGGTGGGATCTGGCTGGAGGAGGGTCTCGGGGGGCATTTCAGGGAGTCTGCACCCCTCCCAGCCGAGGAGCGCAGAGGTTGTCCCGTGGAACTCCAGGGCCCCTCCTCCACAGCTCAGCGCCAGAGCCCAGCTTAGCATCTCCCTCAGCTACTGGAGGGCTGTGTTTGTTTCATTCCTTCATTGGTTTAGTCAATCAGAGCTGTTTGAAGACTTAAGAGAGATAACAGACTAGAAAGTGCTTTGAAAAAATATCAAGCTCTATCCAGCTAACATTATTTGAATATCAAAGCCATTGTTACCTTTGATCAGTTTTATTTTTATCAGTTCCGTTCTTGATTTGTTTTTAAGCTAGGCATTTATTCTCCAGATGAAGGCTTATGATGAAGCCCAAACTATTAATATAAAATACATAACGTGGACCTGCTCCGACTGAAGTGAAGCGGCGCGGGGATCTCCAAGGACTCCCCAAGGAGCACAGTTGGAAAAGCACCGGAAGAAAAGCCAAAAGGGCAGAAGAGTTGCAAAGTTCCTTAAAAACATGAATCCCAACTGTTAAGTAGCTCGCCTGTGGTGAATCCACACACAAAAACATGTGAAAAAATCGCATAGAGCAAAACTATGCACGTACACAAACGGGTGCGTGTAAAACTGGTGACAGAAGAAAGCTGAGTGCATTGTATCAATGTCCATGGTCTGGCTGTGATATTACATTATAGCTTTGCGAGATGACACAACTGGGGAAAACTGGGTGCAGGATACACAGGGTCTCTCTGTATTGTTTCTCCCAACCGCATGGAGCTCTGCAATTATCTTAGGATAGAAAGTTTCATTAAAAATGAATAAATAAATCCACAGCGTGAGTTTCTCATCCTGTCACTTTCCTCCTCCTGAAAACCTACCCTCATCATCAAGGACCCAGCTTTCCATCTCTCTGCCCTGCCATCCCCAGCATGCTCGGGCAAGTCGCCAGCAAGTGCAGGTGCAAAAATTACTCTTTTCATAAGTCTCATTTTAAGAGCAAGAAAACAGGTCTGTCTGCCACTCTTTACACCCACTTCCTTTTACTGACCACAATCAAGTCACGAGCACTTCCCTACATGGAACACGGGCCGGGGCGGGACTGCCATTATCCTGAGATGGAGTCCCTGGGGTGGGAGGCAGTTACATCTGAAAAACCTCAGCTCCCCGCCAGGCCAGCGAGTAAGGGCCAGGAACAGACCAGGCGATGGACAGGCAGCATTACGGAGGAGCCATAATCAGGGGTGATGAGAGTTCCCCTGGATTCCTTTCCACTGTACAGCCATCGAGTCCCCCAGGAAGTTTCGAGACAAGCTCAGAAGGTGATGAAGATGGAGGAGGCATCAGAGCGCCCAGAACAGCTGAAAGCTAGTTCCTGATTTCACAC